AGGCTTCTAGTTTTGTGCCAGGCACTGTGGCAGGCGGTTTTACCAATGTTAACTTAAAATATATAATACTATTTTTGTCCCTTGTAGAATACTCATAACAACCTTCCAGTAGGTGTTATTATTTCTGCTTTACAGATGAAGTAATGGAATTCAAAAAGGTCATAAATTCAAAGTTATGAATAAGAAAATGAAATATTCGGAACTTGAGTGCATTCACAGTAGTCTTCGGTGGGCTTCCACAGCTATTAGTCTTTATTCATTCTTTTGGATTTTAAAAATTCTCTGACAAATAATGTTTGACTTTGACTATGATCCATAGGTAAAAATAAATCTGCTTTATCACAGGTGGAAAAAAAGTTAAGGAACTTGTCTAAGTTCACTTACTACTAAATAACAAAACCACAATACACTTCAAATCTGCCAATAGGGAAGTAAGAGAAGGGCGTTCTTGAGTATTCTCCATATGTATATTCTTTATTGCAAGAGATTGTTTTTCCCACAGCATCTTCAGTTGTATAATTTTGGCAACTGTGGGTATTTTATACTGGCTTTTTGGATCAACCCTATGCACTTTACAGCGTGGGAACAATCCTCTCATCAAAGGGATACTTGAGGAATCAAGGTAAGGCTCTTAATATCGAATCAGCATCCTTGCCCAACTCAAGTGTGGTGCCAGTGACTAATCCTTTTCTGTATTCCAAATTCAGAAAGTGGTCCCTGCCTTGATTACCTGTCCATTCCTCCAGTCTTGCTGTGACTGCACACCTGTTTTAACCCCTTCCAGTCTTTTAGAGGGTTAGAACTCTTTCCCTGAGGGACAGTCCCCATCACTGGGCTCTTTTTGAGACCTCGTCTTCAAACCTCTCATTCTTTTTGTCTGAGGCCTCCCTGCATGGCTGATTCATCCTTGTGAATCTTTTGGAATTCATATAATGTATAGTCTGCTACATTTTTGTGCGAATCAAAGCTTTGCTATGCCACTTACTTCAGAGTCTCTATCTCAATGCAGCAATGAGTCTCACTAGCAAATAAATATTTCAACTTGTCCTACCATCATTATTTTTGGCTTATTAATGCTTACTAAAACAGAGCTTCCTGGTATCCATCTTGTCCAAATGAAAGCCCATCTTTGGTTGAGGAATCATTACAGATGTAATTCACTAGTCAGATTGCATACATTACCCCAGTTAACCAACGAAACACATGGATATTATCACCATCTGTGTTCAGGAAAATTAAGATGTGGAGTAGATTTGGTGTTTTGAAAGCAGATGCTGAGATAGATTAGGTAGCAACACCTGTGAAAGGAAGAGGAAAGAATGAAGATTGGACAGAGGAAGAAGTCAGACTGTGAAAGAGGCCTAATGTAACTTTGGCTGACTGAACTGGGAGCACTGGGTCAAGTATGACCCATCAGCATCTTATGTGAGGCTGAGATGGCCAGCCCTTTATACACATTTCTAGTTCCATTACCAGATGCAGGGTGTCATGGGAACACATAACCTTGGAGTAGGTGAGTCTTAATTATAGACCCTGAAGAAGTTTACTCTTGGAAGCTGTGTGCTGACTTCATTCCTTACAGCTAAGAGCAAATCTGTCCTTTTGAAGGGGGATCTGAGTGGTGCATTTCTGTATCTACTGAGACTTTAAGAATCTAGGAAAATCTGTGGAAGATTCTATAGTTAGTAAGTGACAAAGATTTTATATCAAATCCTTTGTGACTCAAAAGTCTATGTACCTCACCAATTCATAATCAGTTTCTAAATATCCATTCAAACCAACTGAATCAGAATCACTTTAAGAGATTTCTAGGAATATACCCTAAGAAGCCTAAAACACCAATCAGAAAGAATATATGTACCCCCATGTTCATAGCAGCACTATTTACAATAACTAAGATCTGGAAACAGTCCAAATGTCCATCAGTAGACGAATGGATAGAAAAGCTGTAGTACATATACACAATGGAATACTATGCAGCTGTAAGAAAGAAAAATTTCTTATCCTTTGAGACGACATGTAGGGACCTGGAAAGTATTATCCTAAGCAAAACAAGCCAAGCAGAGAAAGACAAATACCACATGATCTCACTTATTTGTGGAATATAATGAACATAACAGTCTGAGGAATGGGGTAGTCCCAGAGCCGTGGAAGTGGGGTACAGACTGACAATCTCCAGAAGAGGGGGTAGGGGAGGAGATAAACCACTGAACTTATATGCATGTGTGCATGAACAATGGACATGGACAACAAAGCTGAGGACAGGGCGGGGAGGGTGGGAGAGGGGGATATCAGTGGGGGAAAAAGGAGAAACATCTGTAACAAAAATAAATTAATTAAATAAAAAAAAAGAAAATGGGATATTTGGCCTCTGAGATTCACATTCAAAGGATGTAGATGAGATCCAGGAACCACACCCAGTTTATAAAATGTCCAGGCTCATTCTAAAGTACAGTTATATACAGAAACCACTGACACTAAAGAACGGAAAAGGTTTTAAATGTTGGACTACATTTATGGTAAAAGCTATACAATGTTTTGGGGGTGTTAAAAATTCAGAACCAATACATCCCTGTGGGCTGATGTTTAATGTCAGTGGCAAGACCTCTCTAGGACTCTGCATCTCGCTTTGTGATTGCTGCTTCTCTGATCACCCTGGGGCAAACATATTGGAGAAAGTACAGCTGCTCCATGATTCATGAAAGCAAGTGAGTCTTTAAGTGAACTAAAGAATTTGCCTTCTAAGTAGCTCCTAAAATGTCTGCAAAATGAATTTGAAGATGCCAAATTCTATTTTGCCTTGTCTTTCACCATAAAATTGAAGAGAAGTTCATGTTTTTACATTGTTTTTTAAAATACAATGCAACTGCTTTTAAGAATGTAGTAAATTCTTTAAATTTGCACATTTAAATAAATGTATAATCTTCGAATCAAACAGTATATGATTATAATGAGACAAAGATGAGAGAGAAGCTTAATGACAAGAGGAAGTATAAATGCAAAGCAAAATTGACTTGTTGCAGAGCTAACACACTTCTGAGACAGGCTTTTTTCAATTCTCTACTAAAATGAAGACAAAGAGTCAGATTCTGAGGGTGGGTTTCATCTGCAGTGGGGCTCTTGGGTCTCTAGCTATGGAAGGATAAAGGACCAGTCACACTGACACAAGTAGTAAAATAGATATATTAAAAAAAAATACATTAGTTGTTACAAAAGATTTTTTCCCTGACTTTTTATCTAATTAGCATAGAATTTTTATATGAACAAAATCTTTAAAATAGTGAATCATAAAGGTTTTGTGCCAAAATAAACAAAGTTTATATAAGTTCTCTTTGGTTTGGGACAATATCCTGAGATCCTTAGCCATATTATGGTTCATGGCTTTTGACCTCTGGGACCATTTTATTTTATTTATTTTTTTATTAATTAATTTTTGTTACAGATGTTTCTCCTTTTTCCCCCACTGATTCCCCCCTCCCCCTCCCTCCCCGCTCTGTCCTCAGCTTTGTTGTCCATGTCCATTGTTCATGCACACATGCATATAAGTTCAGTGGTTTATCTCCTCCCGTATCCCCTCTTCTGGGGATTGTCTGTCTGTACCCCACCTCCATGTCTCTGGGACTACCCCATTCCTCAGACTGTTAAGTTCATTATATTCCACAAATAAGTGAGATCATATGATACTTGTCCTTCTCTGTTTGGCTTGCCTCACTCAGGATGATACTCTCCAGGTCCCTTCATGTAGTCTCAAAGGACAAGAGATCTTTTTTTCTTACAGCTGCGTAGTACTCCATTGTGTATATGTACTCTGGGACCATTTTAAAGAGACAGTGCGCCTTGCCTCATTTGCCATAGATAGTTTGCACTCCACCTTGAGCACAGAATGAGAGTTGTGTAAATGCTGGATGAATATGTTGCAGGCTGTTTACTGGATAAGTAATGGAAGTTCTAAGAAGCTATATATAGTTACTGTATGTTACACTGTGGTGGCTGAAATGCATGGATATTTAAGTTTCAACACTAAAGGTTAATATGAAAAAATTACAGTAGTTGTTGACTGAGCTCTTTAAAATCAGGAACAGTGACTCATTCATCAAACATGTGCACAAGTGTGTATTTGAATCAGTAAGTACACAAAAACTGTTTTTTTTTAAACCCTTAAAACCATTGAAGTTTGGCCTTGGGAGAAAATCATCAGCCTCTGAGAGAAAGACTTACAAAACCAACTTCTGTCAATGATCAGAAATGTCACAAATCTAGATTTCTCATTTGGAATCTTAAGTGGGTGAATTAAATTAGATGCTATGATTAGAAACAAATTATTAGAAGTGGCGTTGGAGAAAACAATCCCACATTCACCCTCAGTTGACTGATCTTGAACTCTTTCATTTCTTCCCTTATTGTTTCTATTCTATTTAATCCAGACATTACCCACATGAAGAATGTTGAAAATGAATGTTTCCTTTAATTGATATTTAAGATGTTATGTAGCTCGAAACTTTATTCTTTAGAAAGAACATGTAGCTAATACCAACGATGATCTTGTTCCACTGATATTTATCTACAGATTAAAGACAGTTGCCCTTCCCTCACCTGTTGAGGAAGCACTTCCTGCCACTCATTTTCTCCATAACCTCAAGAAAACCTCCACGGGTTTAATGGCAATAAGCGTTCTTATTTTACCACGACATGATGTTTGGGAAGAAAAATCTAAAATCTTTTACATAAAAGAAGTTTCGTAATCACACACCATAAAAAGGGGGAAAATGAATACTTACCATAGGTACTTTTCACCATAAATTTCCTGACCTTGATTTGATTAAAATCTCAACCTAAAGATTGCAACAATATAGATTTCTTTAGAATTTAATTGTTCATTTCATTGAACTTCGGATGAGAAAAACTTCAATGTGAGGCACCAAGCGTGGTAAGCGGAAGAAGTTAAGGAGCTGCTCTGCAGATCAGAGCATTTGGAAGTGAGCACCCAACGTGACAAGAAACAAAAACCACAAGATACCACATACTCTTTGAGCTTATTTGGTTTCTCAAACTAGTCAGGCTCTTCCTACTGACTGCTCCTACGTGTACTCTCTATTTTACAGATGTCGCTGGGGTAGTTAACCTGATCCAACCCTGAAGAACTCAGGGAAGCCTTCTACTTGGGAAATTTTTCCATCCCAATATGCACAGGAAATGAAGACATCGCCGGCCATGATTGGATCTGGGAAATTGTGTTGGGTCCTCTTCTTAATCCCACATCTGGGCATCTGGAGTATTTACGGTAAAGCACCTACTTAGATTAATTTTTGTTTTATTTCTCAGGGGATGGGTGTTGGAGGTAATGTTTTTCCTTGCTGATCGTAGTAGGATGTAGTGTTTATGTGGAGAATAACGGTAGAGAAAACTAAGTAGTTAGACTTGCTTACTGAAGACATTTTAGGGCATGAACCAAATTAGAACGTCATATTCAAGTCACTTTGGCCGATTTTTTTTTTTTTTAAAACATGTTCTAATGGTAGGAAAAAGGAATCGGGCAGATGTTATAAGTAGTCAGGGACAAATATGTCACTACTACTAGCAAAATTGCTCTGGATGTTATACTGATGGTGACTAGCTGCTTGTTTCCAAACTGAAGTTTGCTAAGGTGGGTCGGATAGGTATCAGATACTTGACTTCATCATTACTCTTGAATAATATTGCTAAACAAAATCACACCACTTGCTTCAGTGGGGTGTGTGCCTGCAGAACACTGATGGAGAAACTGCTGAGAAATACAGGATTGGAGCATTCTCTCATTGTGTCTAAGAAAATAGATTTGACTTGGATGTGATTTGAGATAGAAACCAGATAGGGTTCTGCATAGAAGATGTTCCACTGCTGCAAAGATTTTATGTGAGCAAAAAACCAATTTCTTCTTTCTGGTGAGTGCACTTGCTCTCTTGACTCATTGCAAAAGGGGAAGGGCTATAAATAGCTAGCAGGAGTTTTAGATTTTTCTTAGGGCTGATTTCAAATATCCTACTTTATAATCCCCACAGCACACATGCTCTTATCAATTTATGTGCTGTGGTTTTTAAATCAGAAATATGCCCCCTGAGACCCTATACAATGTCATCTGCAATTCTGAACTGGGTGGTTTAGAATTTGTCTCCGTGATGCCAGGGTGGTACACAACCAGGAGCAAAATAAAACTCCCTTCTTTCAACTAAGTATTTTTATGTTTGTATATTTTTATGTATGTATATTTGGTATTACATTGATAAGAGGTTTAGATGGATGATTATATTGTTTACTTTCCATTAGATGCCTACAATCTCATAGCTATAACTGAAGTCAAAATTATTAAAAAGAATTTATACCAACTTGAAGAACATATAAACTATTTTCTGTAAAATGAATAGAAGAATGTTTTTAGTGTTACATCACACTGTGATTGGGGTACAATTTCTGTCCTCCCCCCTCCCAACATGCTTACAAAAAAAACTTGAATGTCAGAATTGGGTTAATTTACTGGCTTTGCATTTACTGCGTGACTTTGGTTAAGTCTCTTATTTTCTCTTGTGCTTAGTTTTCTCCTTTGTAAAATAGAGATAATGATTGTACCTAAATTATGGACCTATTGTGAACACTACAAATGCAGTAATATGGATAAAGTACCCGACCCAGTAAGTACACACAACAAAAGCTCCATAAATGTTAACGGTATTTTTGCTAATATTCTTTTCACCAAGCAACTCCTACAGAATCCAGTTAAATGGGGAGTAAGTTTTAGCATTATTATGTAAAACCATTGAGTTATTAAAGCTAAAATAAAATTAATAAATGAAATATATTATACAATATATTTAGCCCAAAACAATGAATCACATTATTTGGAAAATGAGTTGGAAAGCCTTGGACACAGTCCTGGCCAGGTATCTTGTAAATTGATAGATTACAGCATTACTTGCATTAAAGTAAGGACACAGGTTGAGATAAGGGAATGTTTGATGAGATTTGTTCTCCCAGATAGAGCTAATAATTATTCCTTAAAATCACATCACTTTTAAACTTTATATCTTGGGGATTTCCTGTAATTTAGTTAATTACTAAATTCTTTACACTGGCACAGTTTCAAAGTGTTTAATAATAATTTTGAAAGATATTTTTTTTCTCCTTCACTTTAAAGCAATGTGAGATCTGTGCTTCTTCCCAGGCATCAGACAGCATTGAGAATAAGGTTGGAAAAATATAACGTTCTTTACAAACTTCCTTCTTTATAATGAAATTATGCTTTCTTGCTTTTTGTGTTTCTCAAAAAGGAAATCGAGGGCACTCTGCCCCTTGGTATCTGGCGCAGAATTTCTGTCCCAGTGAAAACATAAAGTGTTAGCACCTTCCCTTCCTGGACAGATGGGCAGATTATACTGGCAAGAATTAGGCTGCAGGTGGAGAAGCTCCTGTCAGTCACCAGCCTAATTGCTGATGAGCAGCTCCAGCTGTGTGCCCCTGGGCTGCTTATTCGGTTGAAGGTCAACCTAGCATTCCACCTTCAAGCACGCAGAAACACTGCCATTAATGTCTCACTACACCACTTGGCACTATTTCTGACCCTGAATGAAGGCTCTAGGAAATCTTTGATTAATCACTGCTAATTGTGAGAAGAAGAAAAAATCCTGGTCTAGTCACCAGAGGACACTCATAATTTGGCTCCTTTGAGAACACAGTGGCTATGGCCAAGTCTCCATTTGGGTCTTGCCTGTGTCCTCTTTAGCCTCTATGGTGATCGCTCAGTATGGACCATGGATCCACATCCCACATATATTGTGTTACTTTACCATGAATTAGCCATACTGTTGGGTCAGAGCAGAAACATTAGGGTAGAATGCCTGTGTCTGTCTCACATTCCTTGAAGTTTTAGGGTCTTTATCACACTTCTTACTATGGTTGTAACTATCCCTATTGAAATGGGCACAGGAGATGGACCTCTGCCTTCTGCCAAGTGCCTGTGTATAACCACCTTTGACATACATGTCTAGGAACACTTTCTGAAACAACAGGATTTCCTGGATTGAGGTATAAAAAGATTAACCCCTGTGCTGATCACAGCTTGCAAAGACCTTCCAAACATTGAAAAGCTCTTTAATTAACTGTTGCTTCCTCTGTCCCACTATCAAACTTTCCTCTATTGTAATGTTGAAGTCAAGTTCTGTTCATCTGGCTTCACTGGGACTTTACTACTTAATTTCTGTTAGTAGAAATTACTACTTAATTTCAATTGTGAGTTTCACCCTTACTTAGACTTCAGAACTGTTGAAAGAAAATGTTCACAGGTATTTGTAATCAGGTTCAAATATGAAATTAACCTTTGGCTTTGTTCTCTGCAGAGCAATGATGGGACTCTAGAGCTGAACTGCCTGGGTTACTATCCCATCTCTGCTATTCACTGGTTCTGTGACTATAACCGTTCTGATTCTCTTTCCTCATCTAAACAATGGGGACAATTATGATGTTGTTTAGGGTTGTTGTAGTACATGAATTATGTGAAATACTTAGAACAGTGCCTGATGCATTGTAAGTGCTGAGCAAGTTTAGATAATAATGCCCCCTACCCTTTTAGTCCAAAATTGAATTAGCTTTACAGCTCCCTTAAAGTAGTATTGGGAAACTAACTATCTCTAATTTGGGGTGGCAAAAGTTATCTATAAGTAATTTTGATATCATTACCTACTATCATCCCCAGTCACCAAGAAATGATAATAGAGTTTGGGAGTCATGAGACTTGAGTTACATTATGTCATTGAAGTGTATCATAAGCAATTTGCTTTACTTTTTTAGTAGTCTCCATTCTTTTACCTCAACATAAGCTCAATATTATGTATCTTTCACAGACTCTGACTTCTGTGCTTATCCTATAAGAAATTACTTATGGGCATGCTTCCATATGTACACAAGCAGGGGTATCATTTTAGTATGCTCAGAAAGTAAACATGTACATTTTGAGGTTCACTTGGAGTCCAAGAGAGTGTTAGAAGGGCCATCCAGGCCAGTCATAAGGACACATCAGGTTTAGCTACTAGAGCTCTCTAACTCCTGTCCTCCTTCCTGACAGCCACATTTATCTTATGAGCACAAGCTAGAACTTGAATACATCACCAACACTCCATGTCTACAAGTGGCTATAAGGAAGGCTGGGGCATTTAGGTTCTAGCTGGGTGATCATTGACCCATTTCACTTTTTTTTATACTATAAGAAGAGAATTACTATTGAGGAAGGGACAGTTGGCAGTTTCTGCCCACATTGATATTGTTAAGTATCCTCTAGGGCTTTGGAAATGCCAGTGAATCTCAGTATCATCTCTGTACCAGAATGTAATTGAAAGGCCAGAAAGTATCTGGGAAAGAAATGAAAATGAACTTTCCCTGTATCTTTTCACATAACCCACACTTACTCTGACCATCACCCTTACCCATTCTATCACTGAAGGCAATCTTTAGAAATATTCTTTCTTTCTTTCTTTCTTTCTTTCTTTCTTTCTTTCTTTCTTTCTTTCTTTCTTTCTTTCTTTCTTTCTTTCTTTCTTTCTTACATCTACTGGGGTGACATTAAATAATAAGATCATATAGGTTTCAGGTGTACATATCTGTGGTATGTAACCTGAATATTGCATTGTGTGCCCACCACCCAAAGACAAATCATCTTCTATCACCATATATTTGACCCCTTTTACAATATACTACCCCCTTCCCTCTGGTAACCATCATACTATTGTCTGTGTCTATGAGTTTCAGTTTTATATCCCACATATGAGTGAAATCATATAGGTCTTAGCTTTTTGTGACTAACTTATTTCGCTTAGCATGATATTCTCAAGGTCCATCCATGTTGTTGCAAATGGAAGTATTTCATCTTATGACTAAGCAGCATTCCACATCTTCTTTATCCAATTCTCTATCTAAGGACACATTGCTTGTCTCCATATCTTGGCCACTGTGAGTAATGGTGCAAAGAACATAGAAGTGCATATATCTTTGTGAATAAACGCTTTCAAGTTTTTCAGGTAGATAATTAGGAGAGGAATTGCAGGGTCATATGGTAACTCTATTCTTAATTTTTAAAAATCTATTAATTAATTTTTGTTACATATGTTTCTCCTTTTTTCTCTATTGACACCCTCCTCCCCATTCCCAGCCTTGTTGTCCGTGTCCATCGGTTATGTGTCCATGCATATGAGTTCTGTAGTTTATCTCTTTTCTCCACCCAACACTCCCTCTTCTGAGAGTTGTTAGTCTGTACCCTAC